ACCCCTCAAAAAATATTTTTTTAAAAAATCTAAGCCTTCAAAAAATATTTTTTTAAAAAATCTAAGCCTTCAAAAAATATTTTTTTAAAAAATCTAAGCCTTCAAAAAATATTTTTTTTAAAAAATCTAAATCTTCAAAAAATATTTTTTTAAAAAATCTAAGCCTTCAAAAAATATTTTTTTAAAAAATCTAAGCCTTCAAAAAATTTTTTTTTAAAAAATCTAAGCCTTCAAAAAATATTTTTTTTAAAAAATCTACGCCTTGAAAAAGTATTCTTTAAAAAATCTACGCATTGAAAAAATATTTTTTAAAAAATCTACGCCTTGAAAAAATATTTTTTTTAAAAAATCTACGCCTTGAAAAAGTATTCTTTAAAAAATCTACGCATTGAAAAAATATTTTTTAAAAAATCTACGCCTTAAAAAAATATTTTTTAAAAAATCTACACATTGTAAAAAAACTTAAAAAAATCTACGCCTTGAAAAATATTCTTTAAAAAATCTACGCCTTAAAAAAATATTCTTTAAAAAATCTACGCCTTGAAAAAAAAATATTCTTTATAAAATCTACGCCTTGAAAAAAAATATTCTTAAAAAAATCTACGCCTTGAAAAAAATATTCTTAAAAAAATCTACGCCTTGAAAAAAATATTCTTTAAAAAATCTACGCCTTGAAAAAATATTCTTTAAAAAATCTACGCCTTAAAAAAATATTCTTTTAAAAATCTACGCCTTATATTCGACCCTAAAAAATATTCTTTTAAAAATCTACGCCTTTTGAGGACCTTAAAAAATATTCTTTAAAAAATCTACGCCTTAAAAAAATATTTTTTTTTAAAAATCCACGCCTTGAAAAAAATTTAAAAAAATCCACGCCTTAAAAAAATATTTTTTTTAATATACGCCTTAAAAAAAATGTTTTTTAAATATACGCCTTAAAAAATATTGTTTAAAAAATCTACGCCTTGAAAAAATATTGTTTAAAAAATCTACGCCTTGAAAAAATATTCTTTAAAAAATCTACGCCTTGTCAAGCCTTGAAAAAATATTCCTTAAAAATATTCCTACAAAAGAACTCTTTTGGTCCTTTTATGCACCAAAGACCGTAAAATTGATTCACAAAACACTTTTTCCCCATCACTGTTTTTGTTCTTTTCTCACTTACTTCCTAAATATATGTGTATATACATACATACACATTCAAGGATACCAACGAATAAATTTTGTATTTGCAAACACACTTGTTTACTCCCTCTCAATGTAAAATGACGCTGCTACTGTTGCTACCACTTGTTTGCCATTTTTAAGTTCTCCAAAGAAGATGTGAACAGGCTCTCAAGAGCTTTTACAAGAACAACAACGTATTTGGGAAAAAATGCCTGCCATTACAATTCCCTTGCAAAAACACTTGTTTTCTTGTCATTGTCAAGAGCACACTAATAAACACTTAATAGGCATGCATTACATTGCATATACACACACATACGTACATATTTAATTGTCCTCTTGAGAAAAGAAGAAGCAATATTTTAAAAGCCTCGTTTTAATTGCAATATGATGCCTTGTCATTTGTTGTGCTGTGGGTAAAGTAATGGCATTCGTTTTGTTTTGTTATCCGATGAGAGTAACGGTATTACTCTGACAGGCTTTCTCGCTCTCTCTCTCTCCCACTCACACTTGTTGTGTGTTAAGGAATTTGCCATATGGCATGCTCATCATAACATTCAAATGTGATGAATTTGCTGTTACTGTTTATGGTCTCTCTCTGCCTCGCTGTCTCTCTCTCTTTGTAAGAATACGTGTTTACATCTGTATGATTGAGCCTCTCTGTGTTTGCAAGAGCATGATTAAGGCAGAGTCTGTGAATTCGGCTATTTTGTAAGTATTTTACGTTTGCAGTTAAGCATATAAAAGCTTTTCCATTTCCTTTTTTTTGCCAGAGCGTCTTCCTGGCTGTTTGAGTTACACATTTTGTTTTTTTTCACTTTCTATAACGGAAACAGTTGTTATCCACTCTAAAGTTGTGTGTGTGTGTTTAAAACAATTTAAATTGAAATTGCCATTATGGTGTGGTATGGCATTGCTCTGACATATGTAAAGACTGTGTCTCCGAGTGTCCATTTGTTGTGGCATTCAAATTGCAAAGATGTGTGTGTGTGTGTTTGTATAATTGTCACTTGGCGTACAAGGGAACGTATGCGTGTTGCGTGGAATGTTGTTTGTCATACGTTTTAGGCGGCAAATGTTAACTGAATTGTTATCGGAAAGAGAGGAGGCGGAGTAGGAAGAGGAAATGCATGTCATATTCTCACAACTGTGCGTGTGACAGTTGTGTTTATTTTTGCTTTCCCTCCGTTTATTTGCTGTGTGATGTGGCGAAAACAATCTTACGCCACAAGCGTGTAATTACCGACAATTAAATGCACGTCGTCGCAACGTTTAGCATGGCCTTAGTCATGGATAATACGGTGTAATCATCATCTGTTGCGCCTTCCAATGCGGGCAGAAGAATGTTTTGTTATGTGTATGTCCATTTGCATGTTAAATTCTTGCAATTGTCACACAAACACAAGTTGGGCAAAAACAAAACTGTGGCAGTTAGGAAAGTGAAATTGCCTACCGGAATAGTTGATAGCTGGTAAGAAATTATTTAAAAGCCGGCCCATTATATCTGACACAAAGAATGTTTATCCAATTAATTATTTAATCGGAATTAAATGGATATATCGATTCGAACGGGTGTTAAAGGTAATTAGCCACAAGAGAAGATAGAAAAAATATTTTTCAAGACCAATATTCCGAATGCAGATATTTAAAAAATATATTTTGAAGGCCAAACAAGGCGTAGATTTTTTAAAGAGGCCATACAAGGCGTAGATTTTTTAAAGAGGCCAGACAAGGCGTAGATTTTTTAAAGAGGCCAGACAAGGCGTAGATTTTTTAAAGAGGCCAGACAAGGCGTAGATTTTTTAAAGAGGCCAGACAAGGCGTAGATTTTTTAAAGAGGCCAGACAAGGCGTAGATTTTTTAAGAGGCCAGACAAGGCGTAGATTTTTTAAAGAGGCCAGACAAGGCGTAGATTTTTTAAAGAGGCCACACAAGGCGTAGATTTTTTAAAGAGGCCAGACAAGGCGTAGATTTTTTAAAGAGGCCAGACAAGGCGTAGATTTTTTAAAGAGGCCAGACAAGGCGTAGATTTTTTAAAGAGGCCAGACAAGGCGTAGATTTTTTAAAGAGGCCAGACAAGGCGTAGATTTTTTAAAGAGGCCAGACAAGGCGTAGATTTTTTAAAGAGGCCAGACAAGGCGTAGATTTTTTAAAGAGGCCAGACAAGGCGTAGATTTTTTAAAGAGGCCAGACAAGGCGTAGATTTTTTAAAGAGGCCAGACAAGGCGTAGATTTTTTAAAGAGGCCAGACAAGGCGTAGATTTTTTAAAGAGGCCAGACAAGGCGTAGATTTTTTAAAGAGGCCAGACAAGGCGTAGATTTTTTAAAGAGGCCAGACAAGGCGTAGATTTTTTAAAGAGGCCAGACAAGGCGTAGATTTTTTAAAGAGGCCAGACAAGGCGTAGATTTTTTAAAGAGGCCAGACAAGGCGTAGATTTTTTAAAGAGGCCAGACAAGGCGTAGATTTTTTAAAGAGGCCAGACAAGGCGTAGATTTTTTAAAGAGGCCAGACAAGGCGTAGATTTTTTAAAGAGGCCAGACAAGGCGTAGATTTTTTAAAGAGGCCAGACAAGGCGTAGATTTTTTAAAGAGGCCAGACAAGGCGTAGATTTTTTAAAGAGGCCAGACAAGGCGTAGATTTTTTAAAGAGGCCAGACAAGGCGTAGATTTTTTAAAGAGGCCAGACAAGGCGTAGATTTTTTAAAGAGGCCAGACAAGGCGTAGATTTTTTAAAGAGGCCAGACAAGGCGTAGATTTTTTAAAGAGGCCAGACAAGGCGTAGATTTTTTAAAGAGGCCAGACAAGGCGTAGATTTTTTAAAGAGGCCAGACAAGGCGTAGATTTTTTAAAGAGGCCAGACAAGGCGTAGATTTTTTAAAGAATATTTTTTCAAGTCGTAGATTTTTTAAAGAATATTTTTTCAAGTCGTAGATTTTTTAAAGAATATTTTTTCAAGTCGTAGATTTTTTAAAGAATATTTTTTCAAGTCGTAGATTTTTTAAAGAATATTTTTTCAAGTCGTAGATTTTTTAAAGAATATTTTTTCAAGGCGTAGATTTTTTAAAGAATATTTTTTCTAGTCGTAGATTTTTTAAAGAATATTTTTTTAAGTCGTAGATTTTTTAAAGAATATTTTTTTAAGTCGTAGATTTTTTAAAGAATATTTTTTCAAGACTAGGCAGGGCGCAGGGTTTTTAAAGAATATTTTTTCAAGTCGCAGATTTTTTAAAGAATATTTTTTCAAGTCGCAGATTTTTTAAAGAATATTTTTTCAAGACTAGGCAGGGCGCAGGGTTTTTAAAGAATATTTTTTCAAGTCGCAGATTTTTTAAAGGGTTTTTAAAGAATATTTTTTCAAGACTAGGCAGGGCGCAGGGTTTTCAAGAATATTTTCTTCGATGTTCGATATTTTCTTAACCTCCCCTAGTTAACTACTTCGTGTTGATGATTTAACAAAACAAATGTTTATTTGAAATATTTTTCATATTTTTCATTTGCTTAATAATTATAATTTTTAATTGAATTGATTTTATAATAAATAAATTAAAAAAATAATACAAAAACAATAAGTAGATGAAAAAAGTGAATGAAAATCTAGATAAGTTTGTCAATAATTTCCGTAACTCATCAAAGAATAATGAAGAGTTACGTAGATCTAATGAAGATGAAGGAGATAAGTTAAATGTTTTAAGATAAGTTTTCAGGGTGGGAGGGGCAAAGAGCCCCCACTATGAACTATGAAGCTAAGTATAAAAATTGAAAATGGTCAATAAGATTTCCATTTAAATATGGGTTATTGTAATGAGCGAAAAGTCTTATTGAAAACCGGGATTTTAATTGGCAACTTCAACGGGAGCATTGGCAGGGGTTTCTTCTTTAAGTTCCGGTGCGGCAACTGGAGGAGTAACTTCATTGGGTGTTTCCAGTTCGGCTTTCACTTCAGCAGCATGTGTCTCGTTGTTGCCATTTTCAGCTGGTGTAGTATTTTCTTCCGCATTCGTTACACCATTCTCGGGAGGTGGTGTTGTGGTTGTTGCCGTGGCCTCCTTCTGTTCTTGTTCCTCTTCCTTTACACTAATTGTATCCTCCGAAATGGCTGGGGAAGCTTCTTTGTTGTTATTTTGTTGATTCTTTTTCGATTTGGACTTTTTCTTTTGCTTCTTCTTCGAAGATTCCTCCTGTTGTTGTTGCTGTTGTTGTTTGCCCTGTTCCTCACCCTTCAAATTCAACACCTTCATTTGATTTTGTAAATTTGCCAACGTATTCTTTAGTTCAGCACAATTTTTCGACATTATTTCAATTTTATCCTTATCAGCCACGCTTGTAATTGGCTTTGTTTGCATTGGCTCAGGTTCAGCTGGCAGGGCAGGTAGTGGAGGCACTTCAACATTATTTTCTTTAATAACCTTATACAAATGGCTGCGTTCATTTTGTAAAGCACGCAACAGCTTTTGCAGCTGTTCAACTTGTTTATTGCAGCGCATGGCATAATCGTCGCGATCTTTTTTCTCTGTGGCCAATTCGATGAGGGTGGCATTACTCTTCTCCCATTTACGTTTCCATTCAAGACATTCTTTTTCCAGCTTACGGGAATTTTTAGACATCTAAAAGGGTAAAACAAACAAATTAATAAAAAAAATCTGGAACCTATTTCACATCATAAGAAGAAAGCTTAGCTTCCATTTGATGTTGTATTAAGGGCTCTATTCCAATACCCTACCTTCTCCATTTCCGTTTTGTAGGTAACAAAAATATCATTGGATTTTTGCAACGAACTTTGGAAGTCATCATATTTGGCTGTGTACAAATTCAATTGTTCCTTCAAATCCTTTTCACGATCACTGATCTCCTTAAGCATTTGTTGGGTGCTCAACAGTTTTTCCAAGACAATTTGTTTTTCCCTATAAAGGAAGATATACAAAAAATAGTAATTAAAGATATTTTCAAGAGGTATCCCAGAGGTATTTTCTTACTTGATAAGGATTTCCTTTTCCATGGCTGACTCCACTTGGACCTTATTCAATTTAGCTCTGTATAGCTGGGCTTCAATTTGAACTTGCTCATTGAGTTTTTCCAATTGTTGTTCACGGGCCTGGTACTGTTCGGCAAGGAATTTGAGTCTGGAAATAATGAAACAAATTTTGAATTAGGAAGAGCTTTTTTCAGGGCAAAACAAGGCGGAAATTTTCAAAAAAAAATATTTTTTGAGAAGCAGGAAAGGCGTAGATTTTTTAAAGAATGTTTTGTCAAGGGTAGACAAGGCGGAGAAGTCCAGAAAAGGAGTAGATTTTTTTTAAGTCCACACGAGGAGTAGATTTTTTGAAATATTTTTTCAAGGCGTAGATCTTTAAAAAAATATTTTTTCAAGGCGTAGATTTTTTGAAAAGTAGACAAGGCGTAGATATTTTTTTTCAAGGCGTAGATTTTTAAAAAAAAAAATATTTTTTCAAGGCGTAGATTTTTTGAAAAGTAGGCAAGGCGTAGATTTTTTAAAAAAAATATTTTTTCAAGGCGTAGATTTTTTAAAAAATATTTTTTCAATGCGTAGATTTTTTAAAAAATATTTTTTCAATGCGTAGATTTTTTAAAAAATATTTTTTCAAGGCGTAGATTTTTTAAAAAATATTTTTTCAATGCGTAGATTTTTTAAAAAATATTTTTTCAAGGCGTAGATTTTTTAAAAAATATTTTTTCAAGGCGTAGATTTTTTAAAGAATTTTTTGTCAAGGCGTAGATTTTTTAAAGAATTTTTTGTCAAGGCGTAGATTTTTTAAAGAATTTTTTGTCAAGGCGTAGATTTTTTAAAGAATTTTTTGTCAAGGCGTAGATTTTTTTAAAAAATATTTTTTCAAGGCGTAGATTTTTTAAAGAATATTTTTTCAAGGCGTTGATTTTTTAAAAGAAGATTTTTTCAAGGCGTAGATTTTTTTCAAGGCGTAGATTTTTTTCAAGGCGTAGATTTTTTTCAAGGCGTAGATTTTTTTCAAGGCGTAGATTTTTTAAAAAATATTTTCTCAAGGCGTAGATTTTTTAAAAAATATTTTCTCAATGCCTAGATTTTTTAAAAAATATTTTCTCAATGCGTAGATTTTTTAAAAAATATTTTCTTAAGGCGTACATTTTTTAAAAAATATTTTCTCAAGGCGTAGATTTAAAAAAAATCAAGCCGTAGATTTAAAAAAAAAATATTTTTTCAAGGCGTAGATTTTTAAAAAATATTTTCTCAAGGCGTAGATTTTTTAAAAAAACATTTTCTCAAGGCGTAGATTTTTTAAAAAATATTTTCTCAAGGCAGAGATTTTTTAAAAAATATGACTCGGAAAAATTTCTTTGAATGCCATACTTATTTCCCGAAAAAAGTTCTTTAAAAAATCCTGAAAAGAAACGAATGGAATCCTAAAGGGACTTTTAAACACTAAGAGAGCTTCTGGAGACTTTTGAAGACCCCGAAAAAAGTTCTTTAAAAAACCTTGAAAAGATACGAATGCAATCCTAGAGGGTGCATAAAGACTTTTAAACATTAAGAGGGCTTCTGGAGACTTTTGAAGACCCAGAGGACTTCTACACCCCAAAGGACTTCTACAGGGACTAAAAGCCGCAACTGTATTTTATAGGCAAAGAAAACATTAGAGTTCTTCTGTATGCAATAAAATATTCAGCGGTCCTTTGCAAGCAATGGAAGACCTCAAACAATAGAAGATACATAGGTCGTCTATAGAAATTAAACAACATAGAAGTCTCCTAAAATAATTTTAAAATTCTACTTTTCCCTCTCTTTATATTTCAAAATAATTTCAATACGCATTTTTCGTTCTCATATTCCTTCAATTCGTCATCTCTAACAAATAGCCAAAATAAAAAAAAAAAACAACAACAACAAAAATATTGGGGAAAGTATACAAACAAACAAAATTTGAATATATCTAAAAATAGTGGCAATAAAAAAATCACATCCCTCCATTTAACATTTCGAAGTAGAACCAACAATACAAATTAAAAAAAAAATGAAGAGAGCAATGCAATATTTTGAAACACATGGTTAGATGCGGTTCACTACGGAGGGAGATCTAAAGAATTCAATTTGTTCTCAACTAACAACACACCTTTTGGGTGATCAACATTTGTGTTGCCTAGATACCAACAAAATAAAACCGAAAAAAATTCTGAGAGTAGTATTTTGAAATAAATAAAATAACCTCAATTTCTGTGTGTGTGTGTTTTGGGGCGGTTGGGGGTAAGGAATATGAAATGAATGCGTCGTGGTCGTCGTCTACCTAGTGTATGCGTTCGTTCTTCTATGTCTCAAGATGAATGTTTTACTATCCACTTACTTTTTGGTCATCTCAATATTGTGATCACGTAATTTATTGTTCTCCTCATTGTTTTTGTTAAGGGATAAATTGATCTCGTTCAGGGAAGATTGGAATTTTGATTGACTCTCCTTGCGGCGTTCCTCTTCTTCGCGGATCTTTTGCATACTTTCATTTTTAACGGATTTTATGAGTTTCTGTTGTTCCCGGCATACCTCTTCCAGCTTGTCCCTACAAAGGGGGAGCACACAAAAAGTTATTTAAATTTTATTAAATCCTGATTTTCATTCCAATATTTACCTCATTAGGACATTTTTATTATATTCCCTTTGTAGATTCTCTTTTTCACGGACCACAGTCTCCAGCTGTTTTTCCAAAGCCTTGGTATCCTGTTTGGAACGCCGGTGCAGACGTTCACTTTCCACATATTTACTGAGCAATAGTTGAAATTTATCTTCCGGGGTCTTTGCCTCTTCCAATGTTTTTAGAATCTAAAGAAATAGGGGGAAATGCCATATTAATACTGTCCTTCTAACCGCAGCATTTTGACCCAATTTCTTGGACAAGTTTCTATTCTCAGTTCTTTGAGTGTTTAGAATGAAGTATTTCTAAGAATTAATTAAATATATGAGTTAAGTGATGAAATATTTACCTGCTCCTCGATTTTTTGATCCTTGAGCTTTTCATCTCTGGCTTCTTTTTTATTTTTCTTGGCCTGATCCATTTTTTCTTCGCAGAGTTTTTAATATTTACCGACCGGACCGTGTTGAAGGTGTAGTAGTCACGCAAGTCTCTGCAGAAAAGAAATATTGAAAAACGTTCCACCTTTACGAATGGGATGGGATAAGACAAAATGCCCCGTAAAGAAGAAGTCAAAAAAGAAGACGGAAAGTTACGAATGAGGTGGGATGGAGACTAAAAAGGAGTTGCATTGTTTACGAATGAGGTTTAAGGGAACAACAAGAGTAGCAAGGGTAGCTCACATTCAGAGTTTGCTAATTACAACCCTGTAAATTGAGGTGAAAGCAAACGAGACGAGGACAAATCTCGTGTTTACGAATGAAGTCGAAGGGAACGAGACGAGAACCAACCAACGGCTGAATCAGCTGTGGCGGTAAAATCCACTGAAAAATGATTTCTCGTTGTGTCATTCACTAGAACTTGATAACATATTGTTTAATGTACTGTAAAATAAAAAAAAGGAATTTAACGTCCACGTTTACATTTTACTGGATTCAATGATATAGATATTTTTAATAATATATTCAATTTACAATTATGCAGGGTAACTGCAATACTCAGCTGATTCGATTGTATTGTAATACTCTAACCAAGTTCGATATGACATTTTTGATTCCTGTAAAACGACCCAGCGGGAAATTTTTGTACACATTATATTCAAATAAAAAATACGATAATACAATTTAAGCTTTACAATATATAGGGAACCAGAAAAAATAAAACATCATTTGTGAAATGTTTGACATTTATTTTTGATATATTCCCAAATCTGCAGACGATGGAATAATAGTGCAGACGCGCTACGAAATCTTTTTTCTCGGCTTATGGGACAACTGTTTTGTAACAAGCCTGCTATGTAGTAAGCAGGCTTGTTACAAAACGGTTGTCCATTAAGCCGAGCTCAAAAAAGATTTCGTAGCGCGTCTGGCTTGTGCGCATCTCCTCCAATTTGAAAAACCACGTTCCAAGATGTTGTTATCTACTAGGTCTTTCCATCTAATTCCTGACCTTCCCCTACTACCGGAACCATCAGTAGGGTCGCTTTTATATGCCTTTTGAGCTGGGGCATTCGCATTCGTTCGCACAACATGGCCTAGCCACCGTAGTCGCTGCAACTCAATACGAATGACTATGTCGATGACCGCGTATAAATTGTAAAGATCGTGGTTCATTCGACGCCAATATACACCGTCGACGCAGATCTTTCGGAGAATTTTTCTTTCAAACACCCAAAGAGCTGCCTCATCTGCTTGTGCAAGTACCCATGCTTCTGATCCATATTTCAGCACGGATAGTATCAGCGTCTTGTAAAGTGTGAGTTTGGTCTGGCGGGAGGTGACCTTGTTTCTAAACTGCTTACTCAGGTCATACTAGCATCTGTTAGCCATCACGATCCTTCTCCGAATTTCAAAACTGATGTCATTCGTTTTATTTATGGCGGAACCAAGGTATATAAAATATTTAACTACCTTGAAGCTGTAGTTTTCAAGTTCCACAGTTGGTCCGAGTCTACGGGACGTCTTGCGCATTGATACCATCAGATTGGTCTAATCGCCGTTTATTTTGGCAGACTCCTTCTCAATTTTTTCAAAGGTGGCTCTTCCCGCTCGCAATGTTCGACCCATTATATCGATGTCATCGGCGTAGGCGAGTAACATGTGTTGTTTGGTGTACAGAGTGCCATTTCTGTTCACCTGCGTCCCGTATGACCTTTTCCAACAGGATGTTAAAAAGATCACACGATGAACTGTCACCTTGTCTGAATCCTCGTTCGGTATTGAAGGGCTCCAATAGGTCCTTTCCGACTTTAACTGCTGACCTTATGCCACTTAAAGTTATCCTGCATAGCCGTATTAATTTTGCAGGAATACCGAACGTAGACATGGCTTTAAACACCTCTGTACGGATAGGGCTGTCGAATGCGGCTTTATAGTCGACGAATAGGTGGTATGTGTCGATGTGTTTTTCGTGGGTCTTTTCCAGGAGTTGGCGCAGAATGAAATGGTGGATTTTTTAGGCCTGAAGTTATTGACCATTGGCTTCAATCTGTGTGAACCACAGCTCATTGGATATAACTTGCTATCCAATGAGCTATGGGAGGAAGGCTAATTCTTCTTAATCGTCTTGTCTCCTTTTTTGTGCACGGGACACAGGATGCTGAGGCTCCAATCATTGGCATGCATTCCTCTAGCCAAATTGTTCTAAACAACTGGTGCATGCTCCTGACCAGCATCTGACCGCCAGTCTTGAATAGTCCGGCTGGTAACCCATCGGCACCTGCTGCTTTATTGTTCTTCCGCTGATAACGTCTATTCTGACGTCATGTTGACTAGGTGGTATACACTATATACCGTCACCGAACCGAACCTTGGCTGCTACAAGGTAGTGGTCCGAATCGGTATTCGCTCTTCGGATCGATCGTACATCTAGTACACTGGATGAATGCCTTCCGTCTATCACAACATGATCAATTTGATTTTTCGTTGCTTGATCAGGAGAAATCCAGGTGGCCTTGTGTATATCGAGATGCTTGAACCTGGTGCTGCTTTGCTGCCGCGAAGTCAATAACCATTAAGCCGTTGTCGGATGTTTCTTCGTGAAGGCTGAATTTTCGGACGGCTAGTTTAAACCAAGGGTTTTTCCGAACTTTCAAGGCTTGGGAACTATGCATTTCCACCACTGTAATCAGCTCAACGAAGACTATTTACCGTACTACTTTCATACAGATTCCGAGTGGAGCCCCCTAAACTTCACTTTTGCCGATTATTTGCTATAAATATGTCATGACAAAAATATTATATTCTAATAATCTATATGTGTTTTATTTGCATATACTTTTGAAACCATGAAATGGCTAACCCGTATATATAAAATAGTAGACATTATCCTAATAATACAATTTCATGTGTGGCTCGCGTACTTCAGTGTGTAATCTATGTTGAACATTCATTGCAGTGTGATAACACATTCTGGTCACTCTGGTATATATATTTTTTAATTAATATTATTAATAATAATAAATACTCTAGTATATGCTTCTAAGGACATCAAATGACTGACTTATTCTTCCTTTGATACAAAATCATAATTTATTATTAAAAAATTAAATGTTCATTTTGGTTTCATACATCACAGTTTGACAACACTGCTCAATGTATAATGACATTCACTATGAATTAATGGCACAATGTTACACAGCTGTTACTTGTTTATGTCCGGTGTTGGTTGTTCATACAGTCGTTGCCTATATCAATTTAATTTTTTGTTTCATTTTTATTTCATTTTAAGAAATGGCAACATATTCCTGGGCTAATGGCCTGGTAAAAACTCTCAAGGATCCCACTACCCATATTATATCAAATAGTTTGGCAGCTGTCATACAGGATAAATATGCCAAAGCAAAACATCATTATCTAGTATTGCCGTTCGAAGACATACCCTCAATATTTAATGTTAGTTCAAATTCAAAGGGGAAAATGTGAAGATTTGGGATCTAAACGATTGGTGTGATCAGAAATAACGTAATGGACCAATTTCGGTGCTTTTACTTCAAGGGCTTTTATTGTAATCTAGTCTTTGTGGTTGATGGGAATTTATAAACGGCAATAGCAAATGAGCATCATATCGCTCATTTGCTGCAAGACAAACATAACTAAAAACACGATTGTGCAGAAAATGAGCGATATGATATTAATAAAATTTTGTATTCCATTTTCCGGACAGGATCATAGAAATGCATGAAATTTCCCAAGGATACCAATACCTACCAGTGGTATACATTTTAGATCAATTTTCCTCTATCCGATCCTACCAATTACAAAGACTAATTTATAAATAATGACGATTGCAAAATTTTCGCATCTCTCCCTCCTTTTTTGGTTCATAAAAGTTTAAAAATTCTATTGAATTTTTAAATTCTAGTTTAATATCTTACTCATCAATTCACTTTTCCAGCTCACCCAACAAAATCTTCCCCTTCTACAAGAAATGCATTTATTGGCCTTAAACGTAATTGAAGTTAAAGGCGAAAAGAAAGATAACTTCCTGATAGGTTTCCACAATCAGCCGAGTATGCAACGTTTACATTTACATGTAATATCCAACGATTTTATATCGGATTGCTTGAAGACCAAGAAACATTGGAATAGTTTTAATACAGCATTATTTTTAAACTATGAAGGTAAGTGGAAAACGATTTTTATCTCATAACTCAAATTAAAAAAAATACTATATATTATTTACAGATTTAATTACCCAACTAGAAAAAAATGATAAAGTAAAACGTTTGGATAGTAGCACGTTGAAAGAACTTGGCAATATGGAATTAAAGTGCAATCAATGTTCATATGTAGCGAAAAATATACCCACGTTAAAACAACATCTATTAGAGCATTATGAAAAGCGTAAGAAAATGGAGGAATAAAAAGAAATAATTGAAAAGAAAAACGTGTTTTTTTAAATACACTCAGAAAAAAATTCGCAATTTGTAAGGATTTATGAGTTCAACATTGTAACACAAAGAATAGGTGTGTCTAAGGAGTTCCAAAGACTAAATAATGCTTAAAATACACAACTGCAAAACTGGGAATGACCTTTGAAAATTCGTAAAAAAAATATACACCTATAGGCTGGTGATAATCATTGAAAATGCATAGTTGTGGTCTTTTGAAAATCCTTAAAAACCTAAGAGCCTTTTAAAAAATCTTGGAAAATCCACGCATTTAGTGCAGATTGTGATCTTTTAAAATATTCTTTAAAAATCTAAGCCTTCAGTGCGAATTGTGGCCTTCTGAAAATGTCGTTAAAATGCTCACCTTTAGTCCAGGGTATGATCATTTAAAATCCATCCCTTTTGCCACATTAAATGGTCTATTTCTTTAAAAAAGTCGCACTCTGTTTAAAAATTGTTTGAAAATGCAATATTACAGAGCTCATCATGGTTCTTTAAAAAAACATACACTTACAGGGCTAGTTATGTGTCCTCACCCTTATGTCTAATGAGGATATATACAATTTGATTCGGTAAAAATTTTGCTTCATCGAAATATTGGTTTTTAGAACCCATGTTTCTTAGGACCAAATCCGTTTCAGACAATACGGAGTCGATTTACAAATGACCGTCTGTATGTCTGTCTAGCCGGCTGGTTCGCACGATAACTCTCGAACTTCGAAGATGGCGAATATCGGTCCACTCCTTCTGGTACCTCCCCCACAAAGGGCCCAAATTTTTAAACATTTATATGTCAAATATCAGGCGAATGGAATGTCCGATTTGACGTAAAGTTTGCACACCGTTATATCTTTACCAATCCTAGATCAAGCCCGAAGATCCACTCCTTCTGGTACCTTCCCCACCATTGTGTAAAAGATAATTTTTTTAACGGAGTGTCCGATTTGAACGAAACGTTGTACCACCTACTACCTTAACCAAGTATAGACGAAGTCCAAAGATCGGAACCATAGGTCCACTCCTGCTGGTAAAAATTGTCAATAAATGCAATATCAGGCGAATGGAAAGTCTGATTGAAGCTAAACTTTGCATAACCTATTATCTTTGCCAAGCCTCGATCAAATCCGAAGATGAGACCCAGTAGTCCCCTCCTTACGATACCGGTACCCTCACAAAGGGTCAATATTTTATAAACATATAAATTTCATTTGAAGCGAATTGAATAGCCGATTTGATCACGTCTTTGATACAAATATATATCTTATATAAAATCTGTGTTTAATTCCGAAGACCTCCACAAACCATAGGTCGGGGGTATATATCCGTCGGCAACATCGACTGACACTTTTTTCTTGTATTTTTTTTTTTTTAAACTTCCGTGTATCTCAAATTACTCAAACTTTTGTTATCATTTGTTGTTGTTTCTTTTTATGTCATTGTGTATGTGTGTGAGTGTACATGAGGGCCTTGAGTAATCTGAAAACAAAAAATTAACACCTTCACGTGATAATCGCCATATCACATGCATTTTTTTGTTAATTACCCAAAACAAAAATCACCTGCCTTTTTTGGGCTTATGTAGAATAATGAACCTTTTTTCAATTTTCCTAGCAATTTTTCCAAAATTTTTGAGAACCCAAATCCAAATCGAATAACAATTTTACTTTTAATTTAAAGAGAACTTTTTTATTATTATATAAGACATCTATAATACATAGAAACGGAAGAAACAAAAAAATCTGCGTTCTTTTTTGTTTTGATACTGATTGTTTAACACAGAAAGAAAAAAAGAAATAAAAAGAGAACAGAACTGAACATGAAAAAAATACAAAAGTGAATTTCACTTGTTTTGGGGGGAAATAATATTAGCCTATTCAATTATTATTAATTAATAATAATAATATTTATTTGTGTGTTACCTCATGTTATCTATATTTTTCTTTTTTCTGTTATTTGTGTGGTTATTTGTTTTGTTTTTTTATTAATAATGTTTTTTACTTTATTTAAAGACAACAACAACAATAATACATACTTTTTTCTTCTTCTAAATATTAATTGAAACTAAAAGAAATACACACTTTTTTAAAAAAAAGTATAATAGTGGGGGGTCTTTTCTTAAACTTAAAGCCAAGGCTTTTCTTTTTTTTTAAAGATGGAATTCTTTGTTTTTTGGTCACTTCATCCTCAAAATTTTAGATGAATAACCGGGGAAAAGAAAAAACAAATTAAAAATTGTAAAATGAAAACAAAAATATACACAAGAAGTTTTTTCTTTCAACACTAATAATTTTTTGCTGGCGCTTTGGCTTAATATTTGATTATTATCAGAACACATTAAGAATAATACAAATATATAAGCTAAGAGTAGCAGTATTGGGTTGTGTGATTAGCATTGTTTCTATTGTTGGGGGTGATTCGGTATTTTGCACGTGCACCTCCTCCTTCTCAAGCCGATGGCGAATTTACTTCTTGTGGTGGTAGTTCTTGTGGATTTCAGGCTTGATGTTGTAAACATATTGCAAGATTTCTTGAATGACGGGTTCCTTGCGGGAACCGATGGCACGTTCCATATCGGCCAATTTGACGCGGGTATCGGCATCGATTTTGGCAGCTACACCTTCGCGGGAACCCATGTGCTGCAAAAGAACAAAAAATGGAAAGAGTTAAGATTTATTTCCAAAAGTATTAAAAAAATAAAAAAAAACGTTTCCCCAAGTAGACATGTCCAAAATTGATTTTTATTAAAAAAATATATAGCTGAATTCAAATTTTCTAAGAAAATCGTTACTGAATTACTTTATCTAAACAAAAAACTATGCTGAATGTGATTTTTGTATAGAAAAAAAGTAGCTGACATTCGTATTCAGCACAAAAAAATAAATTTTCAATAGAAAACCGTTGCTGAATTACATTATTTAAGCAAAAAACTTTTCTGAAGTAACTGACTTTCGCATTCAGCACGTTGCTGAATTACTATATCTAAACAAAAAACTTTGCTGAATATGATTTTATATAGAAAAAAGTAGCTGACTTGCATTGAGCACAAAAAATTACAATGCTCTGTAGAAACCCTTTGCTGAATTACTTTATCTAAGCAAAAAACTTTTCTGGATGTGATTTTTGTATAGAAAACAGAAGCTGACTTTCGTATTAGCACAAAAACTTTTAAACTTTCAATAGAAACCCGATGCTGAATTACTTTATCTATAAAAAAAACTATGCTGAATGTGATTTTTGCATAGAAAAAAAGTAGCTGACTTTTGCATTCAGCACAAACAAATTAATTTTCAATAGAAAACCGTTGCGAAATTAAGTATATCTAAACAAAAAACTATTCTGAATATGATTGATTAATAACTTTCGTATTAAGCACAAAAAATTAAATTTTCAATAGAAACCCGTTGCTGAATTACATTATCTAAGCAAAAAAGTTTGCTGAATATTTAATTTTTTATAGAAACCCGAAGTGAATTAGTTACGCATTCAGAGCAAAAAAAAATCGTCGCTAACTAATTTTTCTATAAAGAAAGCTACTTTAAATTAATATTTTTTATAGAAAACTTGCTGAATTCACGTAAAAGTGTTGTTGATATGAATTTTGTCAAAATTGATAATTACTGAGAGAAGATTGTGGCATTATTTGATTTTTTTATAGAAATTAACTTTATCTTTTTATAGAAATTAACTTTATCTAGTTAATTTATCTGCTGAATTAACTTTATCTAAACAAAAAAGAAAAATATATTTCTAAAGAAAACTATGTTTGGTTTTTTTTTTAGAAAACCGTTTCTGAAATATATAAAAAAAACATTGCTGAATATGATTTTTAACCGCTAGAGCTAATATTTTCTAAAGAAAACTTTTGCTGAACTCGAATAGTTTTCCAACGAATATATAAATTTGTGGTTATAATTGATTTTTTTATAGAAACCCGTTGCTGAGTTAATTTTATCTAAACAAAAAAACGTTGCTGAATATGATTTTTAACTGCTAGAGCTAATATTTTCTAAAGAAAACTTTTGCTTAATTCTCGTTTTTCAACCAATATATAAATTTGTGGCTATATTTTTTATAGAAACCCGTTGCTGAATTAATTTATGCTATAGCTAATATTTTCTAAAGAAAACTTTAGCTGAATTCGAATATTTTTCCAACGAATATATAAAACAGTATGCTGAATATGATCACAAAAAAATTTTTTTTAGTATGAAAAAACTTCGCTGAATTAACTTTTATAAAATAAAACATTGCTAAACGCATTTCAACAAATGTCAGCTGAATTATTTTTTTCTAAACAAAAAAACGTTGCTGAATTCACTTTCTTTACAGCAAAATTTACCGAATTCATTTTAATTAAAGAATATTATGAAACTGAATTTATTTTTTATTTTTAATAAAATAATCGAAAAATGTTTACTGATTTGAATTTAGCTGAATTTACAATTTTCACAGAAGATCATAGCTGGATAATTTTTTTCATGTAAAAAAAAATTTTCACGAAAACCACTGCTGAATCGAGTTTTATTAAATATGGTTATAGAAAATCGTTGCTGAATTGACTTTTATTAAGGAAACAATATAGATGTTGATTTTATATATACCAAACAAATGTTGGCTGAATTTCCAATTACCGCAGAAAATGTTCGCTGGTTTAATACTATCGTTAAATAAACTTCGCTGAATTAGATTTTTCTAAAGATCACGGCCTATTTATATTTAAAAAAATAAATAAATTGAAAAACATTCCTGAACCAAAAAAAATAATAGCTTTTTGAAAACATAGCTCAAATTGAAAATAGCTTTGCTGAATTGCCTTTCTTGTTAATTTTTTTATAGAAAGCAAATTAAACCAAAAAAATTGTAGTTGAATTGGAATTCACTATAGTAAAGCATTTTTTCTTTAAACAAATATATAGCTGAATTTAAATTTTCTAAATTTTCTTTGAAAATATGAACAAAATTTAACAAAAGTCTTTGCTGAATGAATATTGATTTGAAAATTGCTGAATTGAAATTTAAATTGAATAACGTGGGTTAATTATTATTTCCCATAAGTTGCCACTGGTGTAAAAATCAGCTGAATAAATTTTATTGTGCATAAAAAAAAACTATTTTTTATATTCACAAATTTTTTGCTGAATAGGATTTGTATGGTATGAACTTTTTTAAAAAATTTGATAAATAATGCACCTAAAAACTGATTATTGTTTTACAAAAGATACTGAGACTGTAGGAAGTAGAAGATGTAGGAAGCCGATGTAAAAGTTTATTATCTTCCTACTCCATTCACTCCCATTCTCCATCGTAATCACATCTAACTAGGGAAGGTTTTTCAAATCGAAAAACAGCATATTGTATACAAGGTATTATCTCATCTACAGATCGACTACGAATATCCAGATCCCGACTTTACAAATATTATACGTGCAGTTTCAGAGCTCTAGTTTTGTTGTCTTTTTACATGATTTGAAACTATTCGGAACTGTAACTGTGTAACTGATAAGAAAAAAACGATATCAAACCATTCTGCTTCCCAAGATTCCATCTACATTATCTGTGCAAACTTTTGATTGCTTACTCCCCTTTGAATTTTAGTTCACATAGCATCTTCTACTTCTTTCCATAATTTCTATATAAATTATACTTTGTTTAAACTATTTTCAAATAATCAAGTCAAATTTTCCCTAATTTTTTGAGCGGTTATAAAATTGAAAATCTCTACACCACCATGATATTTGGTAACATCAAAAAAAAAGAGCCTTCTCCACCCCCTTTTCTCTGCCCTACACTCCATGTACACATTGACCCCCTTCCATATTGTTGTTGTTTTTTCTTTGGTTCATTGGGTTATTACCTTGGCTTCAAATTCCTTGAATTGACGTTCCCTTTCTTGGCGATATTTCTCAATTTCTTCGGTAGCTTCATCCTTGGCTTGCTTCAATCTTCTTGCCTTGCCTGTGAAAAACAGAAAAGAAAACAATAAATATATTAATTATTATTAATAAAATACATAAACTTTATATCTGTAATTATTTTTCATCCATCATAAGCTTTGGTGGTTATCATGTGACCCAACAATAGCTGTCAGTCAGTAGTAACACCACACAATTACGTTTTTCTTCTTCTTTTTCGTCTCCCTCTCTCTCTTCCACCTTCTTTAACTATTATAACTTCACCAACACAATGACACTTGTTTTCTTATTGGAATTCGTTTTTTTTTCTCTGTACATTCTTTTCACTTGCTTGAATTGTGCAAAATAATTCCTGTCCTTTTTTTTGGTTTTGTGTCTACTTACGTTTTCTTGCTTCTGCAACTTTTTCGGCAGCCTTTTTCTCAGCGGCCAACAATTGTTGGATACCTTGGGTTTGGCTAGTCATTTTTTGTATTTGCACTTGTATTCACTACACAAATTGGGAAAAAATCGGGGGGTAAAAAGTTCCAAAACTGCACTGTTCACAAGACAAGTAGATAAATACAAGTGACGATGTTCGTCGTGGAATGTGAAAAAACGAAAAATGTCATATGACATTGCCTCATAGGTGCTCAATCGGATTTAAATCGGGCTTTATGGAGGTGTTATCACCATGTGTGGTGTATTGGTATACGATCCAATTCTTAACGCCAATAGCAGTGTGTTTGGAAACATTGTCCTGTTGGAAGTAATAATTATGGTGTTTTTACACGATATGTATTTTACATATGTGCTGTCACTTATTTCATCCATATGTAATTCCTTATGTGTGTCAAAATTAGCAGCGTACACAAAACGTTTATTTTTGTGTTCAAATCGGCATATGTATTTTACATATGACATAACCTATAAACAAAAAAACACGTTTATTTTTTCTTAAATCAACATCATTTTTTTTATTAAACACCTACAAACGAAATAAAAAATTGTAATTGTTGCCTTTTCATCCTTTTCTTTGACTTGCAATTGAAATATTTTCTTCCAACAATGTGTTTCATTCAAACAGCTTATTTCCTTATGTTTCACATACGAAAATAGAGCGCGTCCTATTCGGAAAAAATACATATGTAATTGCATAATGTTTTGACACATTGAAATTTCCGAATGTTTCACATGAAGAGTCCGATTTCCATATGTTAAAAAGTGACAGCACATTATCACGAATGTTGAGTTTTTGAGCACTTTGATTAGAATTTTGTTTCAAAAAATTCATGTAAACTGTTTTATTCTTTATTTCCTCAATGAATACAAAATAAAGTTAAATTGGTGGAAGGAAACCAATTATGCAGAAATACATATATCTGCGAACACAAAAGTAAAATATTTATGTCAAAAAATCAAAGGAAAACAAAAATTGTTTATAGAATTTCTGTGATTTTTTACATTCCAAACGATCACAGCATTGAAAAAACATTTGCATTATTGTAGTTTT